CATGTGGTGCTGGGGGATCGAACCGTGGTCCCTGATGCTTTGCCAAGCTTGTTCTAAGTAGGTGCTTTAGACCACTGAGCCATCTCTCCAGCCCTTACTTGTGGTTTTTATTTTTATCAAAGATGTTTGCTTTTAATTCAAAGTTAAGTTATTTCCTAAGGTTTGTCATAAGAAAATAAAAGTTTCTCACTCTCCCTTATCTATTTTTACATATCTATGAAGAAGTGTTTGCAACTCTTACACGGCTCTAGTACTTGTTCCCATGTACTAATTAACACACTTACTTGCAGCTTCTTACTGCTTCAGGTGGGCGTCATGGCTGGGCTTTTTCAGCTTGCCCAGGACCCCAGTAGTCTCCCGTGCTATCACAATATAATTTAAATTGGATTAATAGTCAATGTTTATGGGGCTGAGATAAAGGTAGACCGCAGTAATGTGCAGATAAAGAGCCCAGCATATGGAACCACGCTGCCTAGATCACCACCACAGCTCTCCCCCTCACTGGGCAGGTCCTAAGCTGTTTGACCTTTTCCTGTGCCTCAGTTTCCTTGTCTGTCAAACAGAAGCAGTAGAGTTTACCTCATCAGGTGATTGTGAGGACAATATGAGTTGATGAATATAAAGCATTTAAATCAGTACCTGCTGCACAGCAACACCTGCTATATAATCATTTCACTGTGTAAGCACCAGTGGCAGCCAATCTGTAGTAGCCTTCTACATCACCTACGTCACCATCCTTTATTCTTATGTTACTCATTCTTTTGTTGTTTCTTTTTTATTTTTTCTACTTTTTATTATTATTTTTTCTTTAGTTCAGGGTCTACAGGGTCTCACTACACAGATCGAACTCATAGTGATCCTCCAATTTTTAGCCTCCCAAGCGCTGGGATTACAGGCATGCGCCCCGACGCCCTGTCTCACTTGACTGCTCAGCACGCCCGGGGGGCGGGGCTCGCACGGCAGGTCGGGCATCAAACCCGCTACTGCGCTCTGCCTAAGCAGGCACTTTAGTCCGCTGAGCTATCCTGCCGGTACTTTATTTAATTTTTTAATGCCTGGGCTCTCATACCTGCCAGGCTAATGCTCTCCTGGGCTACACACCCAGCCGGCTATTATTTTTATTTGGCCTTTCCTCTTATTGCACTCTTGGACACTCATATGACCTCAGCGCATGCGCAGCTATTAGATAATCTGGATTGTCTCTTATTTTGGATGCTGGTTTCCTAATTGCCTCGCTTTCTATTTCAGATTTTACTTTCTCACTTTGACGAATTGCATTTTTCCTGAAAAGGCTGTAGTGAGAGAGAATTTTTTTTTTTTTTTTTTTTGAGAGAAATTTTTTGAAGTGCTAGGTCAGAAATAACTTTGCTTCTCGATTTTGCTAGCATTTTTTTCTTCTTTTGTAGTAATACTGAGAATTGACCTAAGGGCTTATCGCAAGCCAGGCAAGCACCTTCCCAGCCCTTTCCTCCTTCAGGAGTTGTTGTTGTTGTTGTTGTTGTTGTTGTTGTTGTTGCACCAGGGATTGAACTCAGGACCTTGTGCTTGCCAGGCAAGTACTTATTCTACTGAACCATCAGCCACATCTCCACTGTTCTTCAGTTTCTCGTGCTGCTGTTAAGTCTGAAGGATTCTGATTCTTGCTTGTTTTTTCAAGAAGTATGTGAGGTCTTTTCTATTTCCCCTTTGTTTTAAAATGTTTCCGCTTAACCTTCAGCAGTGGTTTTTTAACCTGGGAATTCTTTGTTCTTCGTTATTCTGTTGTCCTCTTGATTTTCAATCCTTGTTCCATCTGGGATTCTTTGTAGGCAGTGACAGAGCACCGGGGCCAATTCTCTGATTTTTAGATCTAACTGATCTTTAAATTTCTGCTTCTGTGTATGATTTCTAAGAAAACTTTTATTGTGCGAATATTCTTTTGTCTGTGTCATCTATTCTTATTTCATGTTTAAAATTTGTTGACAGTATGAATGACTTTTTTTATACATGTTCTGTTGTGTATATATCCTTCCTTTGAATTGCTTTTTGTTTCAGCCTGTGGTGTGTGTTTGTATGTTTCGAGACAGGATCTTGCTGTGGTTCAGGGTGCCTGGCCTTGAACTCTCAGGGATCCTCCTGCCTCAGCCTCAGAGTGCTGGGATTACAGGTGTGCACCAGTATGCCTAGCAAGTTTCAGCCTTTTGGTTGTTTGTTTGTTTGTTTGTTTGTTTGTTTTGGCAGAACCGGGGATTGAACTCACCCCTTGTGCCTGCCCTCGGTGCACTTATTCTACAGAGCCATCTCCCCGGCCCCTTCAGCCAATCTTTGATGTGTACTTTGTTTAAATGCTAGACAATTGTGCATTCTCTTGAATATGCTCTTTTTTAAGTGTTACAATAAAAGGATATTTGGAGTCCGCCTTGTGTTTTTGCGTCTCCATGGCTGGCCTCACGAGTACAGCCTAGTGGACTGAGGGCCCACCTCACCAATGTTTCAGCATCTTTCAGAGGGACACCATTCAACCTGTAACAGGCATTCCTTTGGAACATACTCAGTTTCCATTTTGGCTTTCTTTTCTTTTTTTGTGGTACTAGAGATTGAACTCAGGACCTTGCACTTGGCAGGACGGTGCGTATGCCAGTGGGCTACCTCCGGGCCCCTGCTTCCATTTTGTTAGCTTGCTCTTTTTTTCCACCTGAAAAAAATCACATCCTGAATGACCCTGTTTCAAATAGACAGGTACCGGGGTGAGGACTTGGAATGAGTAGTACCGCCGGATGGATGCCATAGCCCCGCTGCCTTGAGCAGCAGAGCTTGCCGCCCGGCCTGTGGAAGGCAGAGCCGAGGGCATCGGGGCTGGCTCCCCAGGGCTTCTCTGCCTGTCACGGGGGCCTCCCTTTCATGTCCTCACATGACCTTTCCTCTGGGCAGGAGTAGAGTGATGATGGCCTTTTCTTAACACTGGTCCTACTTAGAGTGTTAAATCCCACCCTAGACCCTCGTTAGCCTTAGTTACCTCCTTAAAGGTCTTTTCTTATACTTTTTTTATTATTAATTTTATTGGAAAGTAGCAATGAGACAGTTTCAAAACAGATTAGTAGGTCAGCTACAATAATTAATACATTGCATATTGTTGTCTTCGTAGTAGTTCTTCATAATGCAAGATGCAGATATAATATCTTACCTAAACACTATTATTATTATTCCAAAAGTTTCTTCTCATTAAACTAAGAAAAAGTAGCTGTACATCTTGCAAACTATTTTGTATATATATATTTTTTTTTCACTAGAAATGGTCCTTCTGGGCTGGGGAGATGGCTCAGTATAATAAGCGCTTGCCTGGCAAGCTCAAGGGCCTGAGTTCAATTCCTGGTTCTGCCAAGAAAATAAAATAAAATTTAAAAAAAAAATAATAATAAAAGAAATGGTCCTT